GTTGAAGTCATGTCCTTTTGTTAAAAGTTTGGGCAAAATGATCGAGAAAGGTTTTCTTTTCTTTTGGGGAAAAGACTATGCTCCCACCTTAGCCCCTCCAAACGAGCCTGTTTCCGTCCAGTGTAATCCTCGCAAATGTATCACTGCTAGTCGCATTGATCACGGGGTTCCAATCTTTACTGAGGAAGTTTCGTTTGTTCCGGGAACGCCTGCTGTTGCGGAGGACAATGGGGTAGGTGAGAATATTGTTTGAGAAACACCAGCTGGTTCAACCTTTTCTCCAGAGACTGACCCATTCCTTCGCGAGATCGATCGTGAAGACGAATCGCGCAAAGAGATTCCCAAGGAATCCCGAGACGGAAAAAGGAAAAAGATGCCTGTGGATCATTTTCTCACCCATCAACCAGCTTTGTCTACGTGTGATGTTTGTCGACAAGCCAAGCTTAGGACACATCCACACAGAAGATTTCCCAACCAGTCAGAAGGTAAGCAACTTGCCCAATTGGTTGAAGCCCCAAGGGCTTTTCTTCAGAAAACCGCTTGTGACCACCTTGAAGCTGTTGAAGGGGGAAACAGGGGAGAAAAGTGCGCCCTTGTTTGTGTCGACGTGCATACTGTAGAGAAGCACAGCCGATAGTTGCTTCAGACAGGCATTCTAGTATCTTGGCAGCTATAAAGAGCCTTGGCGTGCATGTGGAGCCCGCCCCTCCTGGGGACAAGCTTCACAACCCAGACGCTGAATCTGCAACTAAAGGGATCTGCCAAGGCACAAGGGCGTTGTTGCTTCAAAGCGGCTTGGGTGTGAAACACTGGCCAAAGGCCATGACATGCTTTGCCTTCCAATACAGTGCCACCACAGCACCGAACGCTCAAAGTGATAGCCTCAGAGGCAAAGTTGACAAAGAGATGTGCGTAGAAGATAGTGAAATTCCCGGGGTCCAATGGGAAAGTAAGCTTCACACGGCTCTGACTTACCCTGTTGAAGGTCGAATGTTTCCCTTTGGCTCACTGGTTTGGTATAAGAAGCCTGATGCCCATGGTAGTTTCGAACCGACAGGAGTTCCGGCACTCTATGTTGGTCCTGAAGTCCTACCAGCCATGCGATTCAAGGATACGCGCGTACTTTTTGATTTGAAGATGTTGACCGGTGAAGGGAAAGTCAAGGAAATTGTGACCAAAGACGTTATTCCTCCTGCCGGCAAATGGGTATTCCCGTTGACTTCTGTTTCAATGTTGAAGAGCTTAGGTTCCATTCTTGATCAACCACCTGAGTTTGAAGACGAACGAAGACCAGCCCAGAATTCGGTCTATCGCAAGGGAAGAATCGAGCAGTATGGAGAAAGTGAGGGGTGTGACGGATGTAGGCTCGGCATTTATTCGCATACAACGGAGTGCAGAGCCCGCTTCAACCGGCGCCTCATTCCATCCCTCTGAATCACGAGACCATTCAAAAGAAGCGGCCCCCCCCTCGGGAACAGAGGACAATTTCAGCCACCTCTATATTTTTCGACCATGTTCAAAGAGTCGCGCCTTTCGGCTGCCAGACGCTCGGCGTATTCTCTACCAAACTTGTGGATTGCCATTCGTTGCCACGGAGACCACTTTGTGCAAGGAAGCGAACCCCAAAGATGAACCGGGCCACAATCACATTGAATTTCACATCCTGAAGCCAAAGAACCAATTGTTCGAATTGGGAAGGGTCCTCAATGTTCAATGACTGCTCTGTCACTCCTAGGTAAGGGATACCCAAATGTTGCACTACCCTACAACAAGAACTGTCGTCCCCACAACAAAACTCAACAAACAAACCAAGTTTCTCACGCTGGTTTGCTTTCCCAACCATACCAACCACGTACTCGTCTAGTTCGTCGAGCGGTTCGCGATCGGTCGGCGGAAGGGTTGGAGTATATCCGGAACTACCTTCACTCCCAGAATCTATGCCCGACTCCCCTTCTCTTGGGCACTCAGGGACGAGATCTTCCTCGTCGTCAATTTCGTCTCCCACGAAAACTCTGAGTTTAGGTTCAGGAATCGCGTCAACTTCTTTCGAAGGAAGAGGTTCTTCGTCCTTTTTGATTTCGACAAACTCTTCGAGATGATGGATGAGGACATTGTGAGTCCAATGATTGGTGCAGCCGAAGCAGAAGCAAGATCACAAGGAGCTCATGGACTTCGACCAGAACAGCTAGATGAAGCAGCAGCGTCACAGGAACATGGAGAGAACGAACCAATGGAAGTTGCAAAAGAAGTTGTGGTGAACGAGATGACATTGAGTGTTCATTCAGCTATGAAAGACCTCAGTACCAGTGCAACTACGCAGCTACGGGCGCAGCAACGAAAACAACCGTCGCCAATGCCGACGTGAGCAGGCAATTTCCGGTGTCGACTTGCCATGCCTTGCCCGTGTCACCGATCTCCGCACTGGCAGTATCCGCAGCAGGTACTGCAGGAAGAGACGCCTCCAGGTTGGAAACTGTCTTTCTCTGATCGTTCACGCTGCAGGTCAAGCAGACGATGGCTGCTTTGGGTATGCAGCCCGTTCAAGTGTACGGTTGTGCCTTCGATCTCACGATCAACGGGAAAAAGCCCCTGAGACCTTGGACCGTTCAAACCACTTCAGACAGATTGCGGGGGGGATTGGCGTCCAAGAGATGTTCCCATCCAGGTAGCTATAAGCATGATGCACTTGAAGGTTCCCTCGCTGCCAAGTCTGGATACTGCAATATTTCCATGGCGACTTCCATTTTGGCGCTCCTTTTTCAATGTTTTTGTTGATCGTATTCCTGCTATGCCGACCCAACCTTTCGAACAACACGTCCACAGAAAAAAGGAAATGTTTGTCTCTTTTCCACCTCTACCCATTCTTGGAGCAATCCACAAGCTCCTTTCCCGAACAGAGATGTTCGAGGACCCTCAAGCTCTTCAGGCTGTCAGCGAAGAAGGGGATGGGGCGAGGAATCGGCAAGTTTGGGACGATTCAGATTGCGTGGAAAAGGCTCAGCGACTCGCGGTTGCTAAGGATGAAGGCAAAGTCATCCATATTGCTGACATCGTGTGTGTTGCCAGCAAAAAGCATTGGGAATCTCCAGGCAAACGGAAGTACAAGGGAAGGTTGGTACTTCGGGGAGACGACGTTCGAGATATTCATCACCTACAAATATACAAGCGATCAGCGTTGCCATATACTATGGCATGTTGGAAGGAAACTGTACTTGGGTAGCAGATTGTGTCAAGGCGTACCTCCAGGCCGACTTGCTCGACCAGGACGCTGAAACAACATATGTTTGCTTCTCAGAAGAACTATGGCTACCATCTTGGAAAGGTGTTTATAGGAGACCCACTGTACCTATGAGAAAGGCCTTGTATGGCAATCCTCAGGCGGCCGCGTTTTGGGATATGCATTTGAAACAAGTCTTGTTGGGTGACCTTGGGCTTCAAGCTGTGGATAGCCGCCCTAGCGTTTACTTGTGTCCCCAAACCAAACTTCTCGTCGTTGTTTACGTTGACGACGTTTTGATTTCCGGCCCTCGGATTCACCAGCAAAAATTTTGGGATTCCTTGAAGAAGAAACTTGAACTTGAAGACGTTGAGGAAATTTCTTCATTCATTGGAAGGTCCCACCACTTGTCACAAGGGTCTTGTGTGCTCAACATGGTTGACTATGCAGAGCAAGCTATCCAGCTCTACGCTGAGGTTGTAGGAGAAGGTGTGAAGTTCAGGATAGTATCTACTCCCTATGTCTCTGGAGCCTTGAATGACCTTGACTACCAAACCGACGGTCAGATCGGCCATAAAGCAAGTAGTGTACTTATGAAACTGCTTTGGTTGACCCGCCTAGCTAGACCAGATCTGGCATTTGCTGTGAGTTCTCTTGCGTCGCAAGTCGCCCGTTGGAGTAGAAATTCTGACAAGCAATTGTTTCGGTTGGTTTCCCACCTTTGGAGCACGAAGAACCTACGCATGACCTTTTCAGTCCACGATTCCCCGGCTTTTTGTTCGCTATGTACGCGGACGCCGATCTAGGCTCTGGCCCTTTCACATCCAGATCCACATCAGGCCTCGTTATAGTGATTGAGGGTCCAAACGGCACCTTTGTTCCAATAACATGGTCTAGCCGGAGACAATCCCATGTCGCCCGATCGATGGCGGACGCCGAGTTGAATTCTCTCTCGCCGAAGGGTTGCGTGAAGAATTCCTGCCAGCGTTCATGCTCATGGAGCAACTCTTCCCTGGGTCAATGCCGAGGGTAAGAGCTATGGAAGACAACGCAGCTGTCATCCAGGCCACAAGGAAAGGTTTTTTGGTCAAACTGAGGCGCTTGGCGCGGACACCTCGTCTGTCTTTGGCTTCTTTAAGCCAAGCCTGTAGTACTTGGTGCCTCTTAGAGCATTGCCCTACAAGTCTCCAATTGGGAGATGCTTTCACAAGGCTTTGCCTCCGCTAAGGTTCAATCCGCAGTCCATTGGACTAAGGCGCTGGCTTGATTCTAAGGTACCAGAAGACAACTGAGGGGATCCTTCGAGCTTCCACCTTTCTTGCGCTGCTACATGACCAGCTGCTTTCTGGATCTCCAGCGCCTGGCGCGGGCTCCACGGCGGCTGTGGATGTGGCTGCTGCTTTGGTGAGAGCGGTGCGAGCTGACTTTTGTAGACCGATCTCGCTACCCTTTCCGCACCTTGTCTCGAAATAAGGCGATCTAATGAAGCGCCTACGAATTCCTGGCCGGGGGGAGTTCATTGGCGTTTGGAGCTTCGACGCCATTTTTTCGAGCGGGGGGACGTTTCACATTGCAGGACCTGACATGAAGAACATGTCGCTAACTTTGGCTCAAGGCCCTGCAAAGAAATGTGTGCGTTGCTGATTTGTGCCTGTGAACATCTCGACCACCGCGGCATTCACTTGTCGCACATACAGACATACATGCATACATACATACATACATAGATAGGTAATCGCAGTTTTCTGATCGCGTTCATTGCTTGTGGGCATTTTGTGCCTAGGTGGAGAGACTCCGGAGGCAAAGCGCCTGAGAAGGTAAGCAGCGGGAATGAGCTGGACTCCTTTCGGATGATGAAGGAGTTGCGACAAACGTTTTTGTATATCGTGTCATTCCCGCGCCGTGTGCACGGCTTTGAGGTTCAGCAGGCGTGATTCCTGCTGTTCTCTGACCTAGGTCCCAAGGGAGACATTGACTTAACAGCCCAATATTTCTGACAGGCAGACTGCATTGAACTAGTTTAGCGAATGATTTCTTTGTTTCTCAGTTTATTAGTTTGTTTACCACTTCACATTGAGCTTGAATGAAGCTCTGAATGTTAGCTGCGCCCCTCCACATGAGCTGAGAGGCCCCCGCAGAAAAGGGTTTTTTGACGCTGACATGGATGTTGTTAGGATAATATGTTGCGTTAAGATGGGAGAACATTGCGAAGCAGCATTTGGCAGCATATACATTTTTTTCAACGTCAAACGTCGGACAACATCTCAGGAGACCAATGCTAGCGGTGAAGGACCATAATGCCAGGGGCGAAACAACTGTTTGAAATTGGTTGCGCTTCTGGGGAGGGAACCGTGAATGGGCAACCTGCTGGCTGGTTGGAACCATTCCTACAATCTATATAGATTCTAGATACACGACAAGACTTCAGCAGCAGTTTGCCAAAGCATTATAGCAGCAGCATTTGTGTGTTTGTGTGTCACTCTTGGTGATCAGATGTAGCACCAGTTACATGTACATGACATAGCTTGTATAGATGTATGTTTCACTGCAGCCGTTTGTTCAAGTTGTGGTTTACTTTTGTGTTCATTTCACTACCAGAGCTCACGCTTGGAGTGGAGCTAAAAGTGTGCCTAAGCTTCTACTACAACCTTTGGGACAGTGACTTGGGGTCACAGAGTTTAAGAGCCTAAATTCTCCGTTCATGGTAGCGGAGCCGCGGTTCTAAGACCCGGCTACCGTCTGCGAATCGAAGGTCGCCGAGCCGCATCGGCTCTGGCACCAGAGATCCACAAAACAAGCATCACTTGCAGGAAAGCCGGATTGCTTCAATCCCTGGCTAGCAAGTCAGCATGGCGCAACAGCCAGGAGCACAGGCACCACAAGCCACAGACATGGCGCAACAATTTGCACAGATGATGCAAGCCCTAGCACAGGGGCAGAGCCAATTGCAGCGAGCAATGGCAGAAGCATATACACAACAAACGGCAATCACAAGGAACATAGCCACTAGCGTAGAAGTAAGAGACAGATCCGAGTTGAAAGGCATTCCAAAGCCTGACAAGTTCAGTGGACACACAGGTACCTGGGATTCATGGTACTTCAAGTTCAAGACTTGGATTGAGACAAGTCACAAGAATGCAGGAAAGTGCATTCAGCTCCTCGAAGAGCATCAAGACACAGAGATCAATGAGACATCTCTGGAAGATGATTATCCTGAAGGAGCCGAGCTTGTTTCAGCTCAGGCCCGACAGGCTCTGATCTCACTATGTGAGGGAGAAGCCCTCGAGACGATTGATCACCAAGTATGATCCACAGAACCCACAAGCAAACTCAGCTTTGCTGAAGAAGGTCCTGCACCCACAACAGTGTGCATTGGACAAGCTCAGAGAGAGCATAGAAGCCTGGGAAAACATCAGGCGAAAGTATGAAGAGCGGAAGAAGAAAGCTCTTGATGATGACATCGCAAGAAGTTGTCTTCAGCAGATGTGTCCAGCCAAACTTCAAGATCACCTTGACCTCCAGAGTTCGAGACTCACTGACTATGCCATCATGAAGTCAGAGATTTTGGCCTACCTCGAGAACATCGAGAGCCGAGAAGAAGCAAAGACTGGATCAGCGCCAATGGATGTTGACGCACTAGCCGCAGCTGCCAGCCAGATGCAAGCTTCACTTGCAAGTCTGGCTAAAGCCAAAGGAAAAGGCAAAGGTGGCTCAAAAGGCGGCAAAGGAAAAGGAAAGAGTCAAGATGGAGGCAAGGGAAACGACAAAGGTAAACAGAAGGGAAAAGGTTCTTCGTGGTCCAATCCCTCGTCATGGAACAACTCATGGAACAAGAACGATTGGTATAAGAATGATTGGAGCAAGAGTAGTTGGTACAACCAAAACTCCAAGGGTAAAGGCAAAGGTGGCAAAGGCAAAGACTCTAAAGGTAAAGGCAAGAGTAAAAGTAAGAAGGTAGCTTCAGTTGAGGAATCTGAAACCTCTATGGCTCAAGAGCATCAACCCGAGCCTGAGTATTCCGCTGACATCGCCACCCTCTTTGCCATCGAGATGGAGAAAGCAGCACCTGCCGCAATTTCTCGTGGAGCAGCCAAGGCAAAAGCTGAGACTGAAGTCAAGGCTATGCCAAAGAAGCCAGGAGCTGGAAAAGGTCGTCCTGGAATTGCAGCTGCTGGGATTGCAGTCATGAACCAAGCAATCCAAGAGACCATGCAGTCCAATCGCGAGCTGTATGAGAAGAAGTCTGAGACAATCCAGAAGGCCATCGAAGAGGCCGAAGCCAAAGGCAAAGCAGCCAATGATGCCACCTTGGAACAACAGGCCGAGATGAAGAGGCTGAAAGAACAGTATGAAGAAAAGGAGAGAGAAGCCAAGATCTTGCTGAAGAGGCCAACTCCTCGCCGAGCCGCTTCGGTTCTGGCGGAGTCGCCAAGGCTCTCAGCTGATTTGGCATCAGGCATGGACCCAAGATTGGCCAAGAAGAAAGAGAAGAGCCGTCAGCGCGCTGAGCAACATCGCGTTGACAAGGCCCAGGATCGCTTCGAATCCTGGCGCGACTATGAGGCCAACTACCCTGAGGAGCTCGATTACTATGAGATCGCTCGTGCCAAGGGTACTGGTCGACTTCAAGCTTGGGATGATGAAGATGATGAGGGAAAGTTTGATGAAACCCCTCAGCCTCGAGGTCGAGAAAAGGCCCAGAGGCATCGTGGCTACAAGAAGCCAGGAAAGGCAAAGAAGCCTGAAAAGCCAAAAGAGAAGGAGCCCAAGATCGAGGATCTCTCCACTCAAGAGTTGGCAGAGATGAAGCGGGAAAGCCAGACATGGACGGCTACCAGCCATCCAGCCCGCAGTGTCATCGACAAGGCGCTCACTGCAGCTGGGTTCAACCCAGAGGACTATGTTGTGATGAAGCGCGTCGAAAGCCAAGGCGAAGGAGCAACAAGCGCACCATCCTTCGCAGCTCCAGTCATGGAGAACATCAATCCCCTTGATGTGACTGAGATCGAGGGACTCGAAGAAGAAGAAGAGTTTGAAGGTGAAGTTGAAGAGGATGAGAATGGCACTGAGCCAGCTGACGAGGAGTCAGATGGACAAGAAGAAGAAAAAGAGAAAGATACCGCGCCATGGCTCGACCACATGTTCCAAGAGCGCATCCTCAGCTATGATGAATGGGTAGCAAAATGCACCCACAAGAACAGAGATGGCAGCAAGAACATGGTCTGCCGTGCGTGCAACAAGGCCCTGAGGTGTGACAATGACACCGGCCTATGGAACCACCATATGGCTTTGAATTGTTGCCCGCCAAAAGTCCTCAACCAGTGGGCAAAGGAATGGACGATCAAGCAGAAGGAGATGGGAAAGCGCATCAAGACTGCCAAGGGACAGCAAGGCAGCCCAACTTCAAAAGATGCGCCAAAGCATGTGAAAGATGCCGACATGGATCTGAAGCCCGAAGATGTGGCAAAGCATTTGAAGATGAAAGATCCAAAGCTTGAGACCGTCAAGAACGAACCTCCTTTCTACATGACAGCCCATATGCAGCAGATGATGGAAGAACAGGAGGAGGAAGATGAGGTTGGCCCAAAGACGCCAAAGCAAAGGCGCATTGCCAAGACACCTCCACCTCCTGAGAAGAAGGGCAAGACCAAGGAGGAGCGCATGGCCTGGTTCAAGAGCTCGACTGAAGAGCACCTAGAGCGATTCCGTGGACCAGGATCCAAGCCAGAGGAATCCAGCGAAGCGCCAAGGCTGCCTCCGAGAAGGGCCAAGGAAAGGGCAAGCAGAAGAAAGTGCAGTTGACTCGAGCCGTCAGCGTGGCCACTCAGGATGCTGCCCGTGAGGCCAAGAAGGGAAAGGGAAAACGATATCCCACTCCCTCAACCGAGCCTCATAAAGGCGATGAAGATCCACTCGCTCTCAGGAGTTTGGAGCTGGCATCCATGGAGACGCCAATGGCTCATCAGGTGACCTTGGATTCAGGAGCCGCGACCTCCTGCATCCCTGTTGAACTGGCCACCGCATTGGGCTACAAGCCTATCCAGCCTGAAGGCACCTGCAAAGTCTACAAGACTGCCTCAGGCGAAGTGGTCAAGGACCTTGGCAAGATCGATGCCATCGTGACCATCGGCATCGGCCAGAACTCCCTCAATGGACGTTGCTGTTTCCGGGTGATGGCGGTTGCAAAACCGCTGCTCTCCGCGGGGGCCCTTATGAGCAAGGGCTGGTGCATTCAGATGCACGGATCTGGTGGACAGATCTCCCGAGACGGGACTAAGATTCCGATCTCGTTCAGCAACGGCGTCTGTTCTGCGCCGCTTGCATTCCACCCTTTCGTCCGGCACCGCAATGGGTAAGTCCGGTAGTGGACGAGCAGGCCGAAGAGGCCGAGCCAGGCGACGAAGTGCCGCCTGAGCTCAAAATCCATGCTCCCATTCGCCCGACGCGAAAAGAGTTTGAAGAGCATGCTGTTTCACACTTCCCTTTTAGGTCTTGGTGTGAAGCCTGTGTAAGGGGAAAAGCTAAGGCAAACCCCCACAGGAAGATAGACCACACCGATGAGACAACCCCAGTAGTGACTGTAGACTACTGTTTCATGAATTCACGGGCCGATGATGTAGTTTTGGACGAGAAGACTCATGCACCAATTCTTGTTGTCAGAGATCGATGGACGAAGCATCTTTTTGCTCATGTGTTGCCCTACAAAGGTGTGACAAAAGGTCCATATGGATCCAAAGTACTTTTGAACGACATCAAGAAACTAGGATACTCCAAACTGATCATTCGACATGATCCTGAACCTGCTCTCACATCCGTTGTTGAGGCAGTAAAGAATGGGTTTGAAGGAACCCTGATCATCGAGAAGAGCCCGAAAGGAGTCAAAGAATCCAAGGGAGAGATTGAACGAGCAGTTCAAACCTTGGAAGGACAAGCCAGGACTCTTCGAGCCGCAATCGAGTCGAACTATGGTGAGAAACTTCCTGACGATTCACCTGTTTTGACTTGGTTAGTTGAACACGCGTCCACAGTCTACAATCTGTTTTTCCGATCCACCGAACTTCAAGACGGAAAGACTCCGTATTCACGACTTCGTGGACGTGAATGGAAAGTAGC